GCTTTTATTATGTTGAGGTATGATCCCTCTATTCCCACTTTGCTGAGAGTTTTTATCAAGAAAGGGTGTTGGATTTTGTCAAATGATTTTTCTGCATCAATTGATATGATTATGTGATTTTTGTCTCTCAATTTGTTTACATGATGTATCACATTGATTGATTTGAGGATATTGTACCATCCTTGCATCCCTGGAATAAATCCCACTTGGTCATGGTGTATGATCTTTCTGATGCATTGCTGAATCTGATTTGCTAGAATTTTGTTGAGGATTTTAGCATCTATGTTCATCAAGGATATTGGCCTCTTTTTTTGTGGTGTCTTTTTCTGGTTTTGGAATTAAGGTAATGCTGACTTCATAGAAAGCGCTTGGAAGTATGCCTTCCTCTTGAATTTTTTGGAATAGTCTGAGTAGGATAGGTTTTAGGGTGCTTTTTTGTGCCCAGTCCCGCTATGGGTCGATTTTTAGAGTTCCCTTCTGCCAGCAGCCCTGCGGATCCCCTTCCACATTCGCGGGTCATTCTAGCCCCAAAAGTCGCAGGTTTTGTGGGGCACAGACTTCCCCAAACCTCTAGATCCCATTCACGCATTTCTCTCTCCTGCCTGGATCCCAGATCTCACCTTTTCCTAGGCGAAATTTGACCTTTCCGTGAGAAGATGCAGAGCTCATCCAAGTTCTCGTATTTATGCTGCTAGAGATCCAGTGTTCCTGGGTTCGCAGCTGGTTGCTGGGTGTTGTGGTTGTAGAGACCCGGGCTGTATAGGTTTCTGATAACAGTCACTCTCCCCTTCAAGATGGTGCGGTCTCTGCGACAGTGTTGGTCGCTCCAGGAGAGATTTCAGCAGCAGTGGAGGCTGCCCTGGTCAGGAGAGCCCAGTCTGGCAGTCCCCAACAGTCCCTTGGAGTATAGCTATCCCTCACCCACAAATATACACTCCTCGTACGTCCACACACTCTCCTTTCATTCTCTCACTCTCACACTATCTTGCAGTTTGCCTTCCCATTGGCAGCCATCTTCCTCCAATCCTATGTTTAAAAATTTTTTTTTGTGGGAAAAAGACTTCAGTCAGCCTGGGGATTGTCAGGGAGACAAAGATGGTAAAACAAAGTGAGTTTTATAGGAAGATAGGAGTCTGATGAGCCAATAAAGAGAGGAAGGACATTCCAGAACAAGGGACTAGCATGAGTAAAGGCACAGAGGCTAAGGGACCTGGCCTGCTTTGGGGAGCCCCAGGGGTGGCCTAAGGGAGATCACCCTGTAGGTCCTGCTCAGAGTCCACCAGAGGTGGGCCTAGAAGGAACGTAGGCAGGGAAGTGGCATGGTCTGAAGATTTCTAGAAAGACCACAGTAGCTGGGATGGGTTTGATGGGCATAAGTAGAGACTGCCAGCAGGGAGACCAGTTAAGAGGTCATTGAAATAGTCCAGGCAGAGGGTGGAGAGATTTAACTGAGCCAGTGCCAGCAGGAATGGTGAGGAGGAAACACATTATCAGAAGGGAGGGTTAGAAAGGAGTTAAGAATGGCACCCAGATTCCTGGGTTAGGTCATGAGGAAGATATGGAGTGAAAGAGAAGAGTTGAGGGCAGAGACCATGTGCCCAGGAACAAATGGGTAGGAAGAGCCTAAGAAGTAGGAGGACTAAGGAATACTGGAAACTGGGGGTGGGAGAATTTTGAGAGTGAGTGGTCAGTAGCATAAATGCATTCAGGATTGTTTGGGGGGTTTTGTTTTGTTTTTTTGCTTCTTGTTTTTCAGATTAAAGAGGCACCACATGAGCAAAAATGGTATTTTATTTTAAAATGCATTTATTTGAATATGGACAAAAGTGGTCTTTTTTTATTTGCCTGTTTCCTAAATGTAGGTCATCTTCTATATAAATAGCATTTTTATGAATTTCCTGCACTGTTTTAAATCCATGAATTCTGAATGGTCATGAGACATTTCCATAACTACCGTTATCAGTTTTTAAAAATGAAATTACTATTAACCATTCAATGTTTTCTTTCCCTCAGAGTGTTCACTGGAGAGAAGCTCTGAATATCTTGAAGCTGGTGGTTTCTCGGTCGGCCAGCCTCATTTTGCCTTCCTACCAGCACAGTGACCTGTCAAAGATAGAAATACATCGAGTATGGACCAGTGCTTCTAAGGAATTACCAGGGAAAACTCTGGACTTTCACTTTGACATTTCAGAGGTATGTTAACTGTTTCTGTAAACTTTAGCATTAATATATAGTACAAAGATCACAAGTAGGTGCCTTGAGCAAGAGAAACTAACTGTATGTTTACTTCCAATGGAGACTTCCTTCTGACGCCTGACTTAGCTTGTTTTTTAAGAACATGTGGAGTATCATATTCACTGGGGCTCTCAATTGACAGCTTTTAAAAATAGAAGCTAGCCTTGGTTATATAAAAACTGATTTCTAAAAAGGAATGATCTTCAGCATTTTAAACCTAACTCATTCCTTATCTGACAACTGTCCTGTCTTTTCTCTATATTGGCGACCTTGTTCCCAGACCAGCTAATGACTGAGATTTGCAGGAATACAGAATTTGCCTTTATAGTTTCCCCGAGCCATACTGCTATTTAAACTGCAAAATTATCTAAATTCTTACCTTTGGGGAGAGGGGAGTGTGTGGAATGGGGGGTGGGAGGACGAGTGAACCAAGCTAAAGAGTTAGGGGGAAAAGAGAAGGCAGATAATAGTCAGATTTACCTGCCAGTTCAGGAACAAGCCCTCTGGAGACCTGTACTTAACCATTTTACTCTAACATGTAAAATACTTCACTTTCCTGTGTCTCTTACCCCATGACCCATAAGCCCCCCAAAGCTGAAACTATGCTCTGTGCATTTTTTACATTACTAGAAGGGAAAAGCTATTTTTACTCTTTGACTTCAGCTTATTCTGCTCCAAAGAGGTACAGAAAACATGCAGCCAGTCAGCTGCACACCCAAGAGACCCAGCTATTCCAAAATGATGGGCCTTGGTGTAGAATCACCTATTGGCTTCTGCTGCCCCCAGGTGTAGGCCCATGAACTGATCTCTGTGCAGGACACCTCTTTGGCACTAAAGCTTGGGACATGCTGCCCACAACCACTCTAAGACTCTCAGGAAATGAAATTTCTAAAGTGGTGCCCAAGTACCTGGCCCTGACCTCATTTGTTTATATAATTGAAAAGATATAAATAATTTAAATAAATGTTTAAATAATCTAGTATATAAAGGTTGGGAAGAAGGAAAGGACTTTTTGTCTTTTCTTGTTGTTAATCCTCACCTGAGGATATTTTTTCCCCATTTATTTTCAGAAAGAGTGAAAGGGAGGGGGAAAGACAGAGAGAGAGAAACATCGATATGAGAGAGACACATTGGTTAGTTGACTCCCTCACATGCCCTGACTGGGGCGGAAATTGAGCCTGCAACCAAGTGAGGTACGTGCCCTTGACTGAAATTGAACCCAAAGCCCTTCAGTCCAGTGGTCAACACTCTAACCACTGAGCAAAACCAGCTAGAGCAGGACTTTTGGTCTCTTATTATGACTACAAGAAATTCTTTCAAGCTTAAACACCTGACAACTGACTTTGTTTTCCTGAATGTTTTCCTTTATCAGTGGTTTCTAAAGAATGTTTAAAAACAACAAGTTGGATTTGTTTTCAGCTGCTAAAGAGAGTGGGAACATATTGAAGATGCAAAATGACTCAGAATATGTATTTGAACATCAGGAAGATGAGCCTACTTGTAACATTGAACTTCTGTAATTTTTAATCAAATAAGCAGTTCTTGGTTGCTGCAGGGTAGAGCAATTCCATACACCAGAGAAGCGTTAATGAGATAGAAGAACATGTGCTTTGTGTTCTTTCTAAGACGCCAATCATCGGGAGGCGATATGATGAACTGCAGAACTCTTCTGGCCGAGATGGGAAGCCCAGGACTGTGGCTGTCACCCGGAGCACGTCCTCCACCTCATCAGGCTCCAACTCCAATGTCCTTGTTCCTGTGAGCTGGAAGAGACCCCAGTATTCTCAGGTATAGAATCCTGGACTTGCAGGATTGGAGGGGAACCTGGGGACTGACTGAGCCAATGGTCCATGAGATAAGGGATTCCTCCACTCATCATCCTGACCTTGCCCGTCGGGCATCGACACCAGTAGTAAGGATCTTAACAGCATTACAAGGGAACCCATTTTTATGTGAACAACTCCTTACATGGGATTAGAGTCTGACACTTTGTTGATTTGATTCACTAGTCCTATCCTCTTAAAGCAAGCATGTCAAACTCAAAGGCTAACACGGGCCAAATAAACAAGGTTTAAGTTTATGTGGGCCACAAAAAAACAAAAGCTTCAATTTTCATAGAAACGTAGGTTTATTTCAATAGAGACATGCTGAATAGAAGGGCTAAAATAAGGAATCATTAACATAAAATAATAGAACATTTTAATAGAAATTGATATTTTTTCTTGAACATTAACTTACCAGACACTGAATAACTGCACAAATTAATAAGCATAATGAAAATAAACCTATTTTTCTTGTTTTCTGAAAGCGAAATATTTCCTATTGCGCACACCAAACAAGTCAGTACAGGACTAATGACATGGCAATCGGCTGCTAAAATATTCACTGCTAGTATTAGTGGAGAGAAATGGTGCGCCTGCACGTTAGGCACGTAAGGGAAATGAATGCAACACAATTATAGTAATCAGTCATTACCGAACATCGTAGTTCATTATTAATAATTATGTATAACAGGATATTGTAAAAATTAAGTTATGAAATTTTTATTAAAGCATTTCTTACAACCGTTATATTGACTGGGCCACAAAAATATTTGTTGTGGGCCGCTTGTCTTAAAGGCTTAGAAAGTGAAATCTGATCTCTTTCATGTGGTGGTCCTTCCAACATTTAAAGAAGCCCTGCCCCCTCTGCCACTTATCCAAATGAGTCCTCTGTTCTCCAAATAATACAACCTTCATTCTTTCAATTAGTTCTCTATGATGGCTGCACATCCAGTGAAATTCTGGCTATTGTCCTCTGTGCATGCTCTCCACTCATGGTCCCTGTGCTGCACAGTCTGTATAACACAGAGCAAAGCAGCTAGCTGCCAGGTCTCTCTGTTATCACAGCCTAAGAGTATTCACTCCATAAGTGCCTCCATTACAGTATTAATGTCATTGCACAATTAAGTAAAACCCTGCTTCATAGGGCTCTTTTGGTTACATGTGACAGAAGCCCAATGAAAAATACCTTAAGTGGAAAAGGAATTTATTAACTTATGTGTCTTAGCTTCAAGCACAGCTGAATTCTAGTATACCAATTCAGAAACTGGATCCCTAGATTCTCTCTCCTTCTCACTATCTCTACCCTCTCTTCCCAGGCCTGGCACTGCTTTCCTCTCTGTTGACATCATTCTCAGGCAGGCTCTTCTTAGATTTCCATGGTCTTTGGCTCTGCTGATTTCAGAAGGACGGAGCCTTTCCCTGACCACACTAATAGCAATTAGAAAAAGGACTTGCAGGAGAGATAGGAACCAAGATAGCAGCATAGATAAGCACTGGTACTCACATCCTACCACAACCACATCAAAATTACAACTAAAATACAGAACAACTATCATTCAGAACTGCCTGAAATTTGGCTGAATGGAAGTCCTACAACTAGAGAATTAAAGAAGAAAGCACATTGAGACTGATGGGAGGGGTGGAAGCATGGAATGAGCTGGGCTGACATCCACATGTGGTTTAATCAGGAGGGATACCTTGATTGTGGAGGCTTCCCATGAGGAGCAAGGGGTCCCAGCCCCACACCAGACCACCTGGTTCCAGTGCTGGAAAGAGAAGTCCCATAACTTTGGGCTATAAAAACCAGCGTGGATTGTGGCTGAGTGACACGGAGGGTTGCTGGAGTCCCAGGTGTTCCTCTTAAAAGGCTGGTACACAGACTTACTCAGACTCACTCCCTCTGAGCTCCAATACTGGGCAGCAGCTTGAAAGAATTCAGGGACATACAGGGAGGAACTAAATTATCTGGCATCAGGGCAAGAACTCAGGGTAGCTTTCTCTCAGACAAAAGTGCTAAGACCTCCCACCACCCCCACAAAGCTAACTGGCAGGTGCCATATCTGAGTCTCCATCACTGTTTGCACCACCCTGGTGATAACTATTTGCACCACCCTGGTGATTCCCTAAGATCCCACCCCACCCAATATGCAGCCCCACCCAAGCTGTTTGCAATGGCTTTTCTATAGAATGGCCTGTCCTGGCTCAGGCTTCAGATGTTCCTAAAATCTCTCAAACAAGCAGCAGCTGGACTCTGTGCACCATACATCTCAATAAGTGGCCCCAGGCCCAGCACTAGCAGCAGCTTGCCTTGCTTCCCAGCTTGGCCTCTCCTGGTTATCTCTAAGCCCAACATAAGTAGCAGCCATCTGCAGGTCATTCTGTAGCTTGTGCTGGGTAGTCCCAAGCAGGACACAGGCAGTGGCTAACTTTTCACTTCCAGTGAGGTCCCAGAACCAGTGCACCTGGTGAACAGCTTCAGATCATGCCAGATTATAACTACCACACCCATGAACCACAAACTCAAGGGGCAGACTCAGTAAGCACCAAACCCCCATGAAGCAGGTCTTTCTCCATAGGGGTGTCTCCTGTATAGAAACTTTTCTACTGTGGTAGCAGCTGATCCTCACAGCCAATTGGCCTGGGGGTCAATCCCTCCCAATTTTACCAACAGCAATCGAGGCTCAACTACAACAAAAGAGTACACATAGTCCACACAGAGGTACACATAATGGGGAGGCTGAGCCACTGGGCCCTGAGAATCAAATCAGCAATTTGGAATATGAGGAAGCAAAAAAACATCCAATCAGAAGAGCAAAAAGAAAAAAGAATCCAAAAATATGAAGATGATTAAGGAGCCTCTGGGACAACTTCAAGTGTACTAACATCTATACCATGAGGGTGCTGGAAGTAGAAGAGAGGGAGCAAGAAATCAAAACCCTATTTAAAGAAATAATGACAGAAAACTTCCTGTGACTGGTGAAAGAAATAGACATACAAGTCCAGGATTGCAGAGAATCCCAAACAAGATGAACCTAAAGAGGACCACACCAAGACACATAATTAAAATGCCAAGGGTTAAAGACAAAGAGAGAATCTTAAAAGCAGCAAGAGAAAAGCAGTTTAGTTAGGCAGGACCCATATGACTATCAACTGATTTCTCAACAGAAATTTTGCAAGCCAGAAAGGAGTGGCAAGAAATATTCAAAGTGATGAAAAGCAAGAACCTACAACCAAGATTACTCGACTCAGAAAAGCTATCATTTAGAATTGAAGGTCAGATAAAGAGCTTCACAGACAAGAAAAAGCTTAAGGAGTTCATCACCATCAAACCAGTATTACATGAAATGTTGAAGGGTCTTTTTAAGTAGAAAATTTTTTTTAAAGATAAAAAATATGAACAATAAAATGGCAATAAATACATATCTATCAACAATTTAACCTAAAAATCAAAATGAACGAATTAGGAATCTGATGAATAAAATAGAACCAGAGGCATGGAAACATTGAACAGACTGACAAATCTCAGAGGGAAGTCAGGGGTGGGGGTGGGAGGGAAGATTAACCAAAGAATTTATATGCATATATGCATTACCCATGGACATAAACAATAGGGTGGTGAAGGCCTGGGGCAGGATAGGAGGATCCAGGTGGAGGAGGGAAAGGGGGGGGAGGGGTGTGAAAGGGAGGGATATTTGTAATAGTCTCAACAATAAAGATTAAAAATTAAATAAATAATTTTTTTTAAGTTATAATGAAAAAGAAAGAAAAAGGATTTGCAGCTTATGTGAGGGAGGCAGGACCCCACTTACAAGGATAGCGGCTGTCCCCAAGATAAAATGAAGACCAAGTGAGCACTAGGCAGGAAAAATACTGTTCACCCAGTAGGACTCACTTTCACTCCTAACGGTTGAGGAAATGGATCACGTAGCAGTACCTTCTGGAACACAGCTGGTCATCAGTGAGTGTCCACTGAGTTGTTGAATAGGGAGCCTACCATACTTCATTGGGGATTTGGCAAAGAGAAAGAAATGTACCGCCCATTCCATGTTCCTCAATATCGATTTCTTCCTGAGATTATAAAATTCCCACTAAAACTTAGGAAAAGAGCTTACAAATCTCTTGCCTTGCTTCAACATCCTTCAACACTGAAAAGACACTGTATTGAGTGTCTCTTCTATAATTTGGAAAGAAGGATGCAGCAGACTGAGTTCCATTAAGGAGAAAGTCTATGAGTGACGTTGGCCTCCTAGCAGTCGCCACATAAGTGTAAATCAGATTAAAAAGGGAAAGATCATTCTAGAAAGATCAGGAAGATTGCTTTGAAAGCAATTCTGGAGTACATGAATATTTTTAAGGCTCTGGACCCTCTTTAATTTTATTCTCAAACTACCATTCATTCTGAGACCTAGTTGATCTGTGTTACTGGAAAATGTGATGTCTTACAGAAGAATCTGCTTGCTTAAGGTGCTAAAACATGAGGTGTATGGAGAACACAAAAAGGAATTAAAGTTGTTTAACTTTAGGAAAAATAAATTGAAAAGATTTAATACAGCTTGCAAATAATTGAGTTTTTTTTAATTCTGCACAAAGTAAAGTTAGTCTCCTCTTTCAGGAAAATAGGTTTGTGCTGTTAACATAATAGATTTAATTTAGGTTTAAGGAAAGTGTTGCTAATGCTGAAAGTTGTAGCATATAAGAAAGATTATAAAGAAAAGGGATGAATATCTACTGAAGAATCTTGAGGTTGATTTTCAGACCCTGATCCCCCACCTTGGGAAAACTTAGATCAGTACTGTATCATAGAAATAGAAGGTGACCCTCACTCTAAATGTTCTAATAGTCACCTTTTTTAAAAAGTTAAAACAAACAGTTAAAATGAATTTATAACATATTTTACTTAACCAAATATGTCTAAAATATTATTTCAACATGTAATCAATATTTCACAATTATTAATTCAATGTTCTACATCCTTTTTTCATGCCAAGTCTGTGTACATTTTACATCTCAGTTCTCACTGGTCACATTTCCAGTATGATAGTTCTATATATAAGAGCAGATCTGGTCACAAGATGCCATGATTATAATCTGCCTGTGTGTTTCTTTTCCAGAAGAGGACAAAAGAGAAGTTGGTGCATGTCCTTTCTCTGTGTGGCCAAGAAGTAGGATTGAGCAAAAATCCATCAGTAAGTTCTAGCACATATCAAATGTATTTTGGTATCATTTCTTTTTTACTTTGGTCTGTTTTTACCTTTGGTCAAAACAAGTTTAGAAGATTTACCTATAAATTTCAAGTATAATATCTACCATCTAGATCAAACCCCTACATCATTTCTCCCCACAGCATGGTTTTCAGTCTCATCTTAATTCAGAAACAATGAAAGATTTTGTTGGCTATTTGCACCACGTTGTCTGTAAATAAATACTCAGTTATTTTCAATTTTTAAAACTTCTTAATTTTTTAAATAAAAATGCCCAGCTTACTACACCACCAAATATGATACACATTCCTTTTGGATATAATTTTATTCTGTACACACAACTCTTACTGTGATGTCATTATTTTATTCACAATAAAGGTGAAAATAATGATATGTTATCATGTTTTTTCTCATGTAAATTTCTACTGATGTTACAGTTTTTTAAAACCATGCCATCAGGTTTTGAAAAATATGAATAATTAAAGTATTAGAAGTTAGCTTCTGAAGCCCTTCTAAAATTTAGAAAATTCAAATTGTATATGTGAACCTGTTGTAGCAAAAGCAATAAAAATCTCAGAGTCTGACTTCACCAGGTATTTTCTGACTGTCTGGCAATGTGCCCTAGCCAGTTATTAGCTCAGCTTGGCCTCCATTGAAGTCACCATTTGGTGTTAGTGATCAGTGGGTTTGTTGCTACCCTGTGACATTATTTAGGGCAGAGGGAACAAGATGACAGTGGCTAGAGCAGGCGGAGCCTCCAGGCTCACAAGGGAGAGAAACAGGAGCACTTGGCCTTCACAATGCAGCCCTGCCAGCCAGGGCCATTTCTTACTGCCTTAGCAGGTGGCACTTCCTCCTTCAGATCCGAACCTCCTGTTTCTGTGCTGAGGCCTTTCTGGCTGGAAATGTTTACCTGGAGGATGTTACAAGTAAGAGCAGCAGCACAACTGAGGAAGCCAGAATTCTCATCTTGTCTCTCACTAGTTGTCTGTCTTACATGCCCATATGTAATACCTGCACAAACTGTATCACATACACACATGAGAAATACTGACTGTCCTGAAATACTGGAGGAAAAAAGTACCTATAAATCCTCTCATTCTTTTACTTTTGATAGACATTTGTGTATTTAAATTCTTCTAAATGATTGCCTACTTTTCAAGGATGACTGGATGTTGTAACGGTTAAATAAGAATCCTGTTCACTTTATTTAATATCAATCTGTACTCAGGAAAGGCTGAATAGCAAAACATTTAGCTTCATTTGTAGCTTATTATTTCTACAAAGTTCTGTTAAGATGACCCAGCAAAAAGACCCTAAACAAAAATTTTAATTTTAAAGTATTACTCTATTAAAGTTTTTAATAGAAAAAGTCTTATTTTGTTAAATCAATAGGGTAGGAATTTAAGTGTAAATTATGAGCATGGTTGCTCAGCTACACTTCTGTAGTTCAAATGAGCAAGTGTTATATCTTTTGGCTTCTGTTTCTTATTCCTTTCCAGTTCCTGGTTTATCTCTGAAAGGGTTAATTCCTTTGCTCTCATAGTTCATTCTATAATAGCTTATCTTGGTATTGGGAATCCTGAAAATATTGTGTGACACTGTGTGTCATCTGTGTGTGAGTATGTACAAGTACCAACCTCAGTCAGTTCAGAAACAGTGGAACTTGTCTTGGCTGCTGATTTGTGAACACACATACAGTTGTCTCACAAACACGCACACACGCCCCTACACACACACACACACACACACATCCAGGTAGGGTCGAGTCTTCATCCAGTAAGCAGCCATTTGACTCTTGAAACATTTTCCTGGTGCATGAACTTGTGTCTTTGCACTAATTTTAATCTGAAGGCACCTGTCCAACATAAATAATAACATCCTAAAAAAATCTGCCTGAGGAATTAGGTGTGTACTGGAAACAGTGTGATGAAGAGCCAGTGATGGGTTTTTTTGTAGCGCAAACAACCAGAGGGAGATGGTTTCTCAGGACGGGACTTTTTGGATTTGTAGGTAATTTTTTCATCATGTGGGGACTTGGACCTGCTGGAGCATCAGACGAGCTTGGTCTCTTCCGAGGATGGTGCCCGAGAACCGGAGAACATGGATGACACAAACAGTGAGCAACAGTTCAGAGTCTTTAGAGACTTCGATTTCCTGGATGTAGAACTAGAGGACGGAGAGGTATAGTACTTTCTCTAAAAATAACCCACTTGACTAACAAAGTTTCTTTTTACCTGCTAAATAATGAATTTTTATAACTGTGTCTTTCATTGAAAAGCTGTAAACTTTATTTTAAATCAACGTATTCCAAGTTCAGCAGCTTCACTTTGGCACAAGTTACCACACCCTTCCTGTCTGAGCCCACAGCAGATGCTGCCAGATTATTTTAAAATGGCCATAATTTGACTGCTGGTGACCATACAAAGGCTGTGTGTAAGTCCAACAGTGAGCTTTAAAACACACACACACAAAATATTCAAGTTCTGAACCTGTTTGCTGGTACCTGGCTAAAACAAGCAGAGCATTTAATGCTTATAAACATGAAATTGCTCTAATTCCATTACTTGGAAGCTTGCCTACGACAAAATAAGCCAGGAGCCTGGGGCCTCTGGGGCCTTTGTGCTGCCTGATTAGGTCATTAGAACTCAAAACAGGATGGAGGGCACAGGAGAGTTTCTGGCTCTGATGTAGATGGGTGGCAGGTTTTCCCCACACTTGGAGCAGCTTAACTCAAGTCTCAATAGGCAAAGGCAGATTTGTGTATTTGGATGACAAGTATGGTCATAAGATGCTTTCAGTTATGAATCATATTTTTGAAATCTGGGATTGGAAGGCAACACATCATCCCTTTGCTCTCATTTTGATAGTTTGGGGGGTGTTCCAGTTGAGTGGTAATCCTTTGCCTCAAAAGGTGGAAACGAAATTCACTAAAGGGAGATTGGTATGTGTGAAAATGCCGGATACCCCTGGTACCAAGTCAGCTCCTGGTGTTAGTCAACATGCTTGAGCTCACATGTAACTATACACAGTCTATTTCCCAAAGAAAGGGCTTTCTGCTAGACTTAAAGTTAAAGCAGAGGCCCAGATTCAAAGTTTATCATCTCCTATAGTGGAAAGGCACCTCCTAACTTAACCAACTTCTTACCTTAATTAACTTCTTACCTTCCCTAAAAGGGTGACTGCTGACCAACTCGTTTATATCAAGGTGAAGCCAAGGGGCTATCTGCTTTTGTCCCTTTGGCCACTGATGACCTTAGATATCTGTGCCAGCAAGGGAGAATCACATCCTCAGAAGGAACAGTATTTTCTTTACCAATCTTTTCCCGGACACAAGTTTGGCAGCCCAGTATATAAAGAGCTAAAGGTACTTACTGCAAAGCAACTTTAAAATAAGTGTCAGCTTTTCACCTTGAGTTGTTCTAGAACCAGTAGAAAGTAGTGCAGAATTTTCTGACTGTTCATCACAATTAGTAATAAAGATATCAATCTCGAATTGTGGTGATGATTGTTTTAAGTCTTCCATGAAATACAATGGTTTTGAATGTCTCTGAGCCAGAGCTACATGGAATGTCACAACATGAGTTCCCTGGCCTGAACAGCTAACCCCATCTTCTCTCCTAGGCTAGAATTCAAGCTCAGGCACCCTCTTCACTCTGAAAATAAAACTAAAGAGGGAAAAATTGACCTTGCAAGACACACATCATTTTCTAAAGTCAATCAAATAAAAACATGTTATATAATATGACCTAGCAGGAGAATCAGACACAGTTTCAGAACAACTAACAAATTTAATTTCTATCAAAATAAAGGAAGGAAAATCTGAGATGCCCACCACTTGAAAATAACTATGACACTAATGTTTGTCAGGGACAAAAAGTAATGAATACTACTGGTGTTCTCTCTGTTGTCCTAGCCAACAAGAACTACATCACAGTGATGACTTTATCTTATATAATTAAGATTTCATAGACACTCAAGAGTATGAAAGTATATATGTACCCAAATAAAATAAACCATGTGAAAAAGTTTTAACCACATCTCACTAAGATACAATAAGGGATGCTGCCATGCTTATGAGGGGTAGCATAAAAAATGCAAGGCTTTGGAGCCAGGCAAGGTCCAACTTTGAATTACAGCTCTGCCACTGACCTCACTCACTGTATGACCATGAGCATGCAATTTCTCTTGGCTTTCTCAGATACTCAATGGGTATGATAATACCTGTCTATAGAGTGGATATGAGCATTTAGTGAGGTAACCTAAATAAAGCTTCTAGCAGTGTCTCAATGTCCATTCCTTTGTACTATCATAGGTGAATAATTTCAGTTTTTCCTCATCTGAGAAAGTTCAGCATATTTACCTTCTAGATAAAAACACAGTTATCAAAAAAGACAGTTTTTTGGTTACATCTACTTCTTTTCATTAAATTGCCTCATAATTTATTGCCTAATATTGGTAAGGGTTTGGCCTTGAACTTTTCAGAATCTTTGCAAGGTGCTGTGTCTTTGCTGTTAACTGTATATCAGCAGTGAAGAGACCATGATCACACACACCTTTCTCTTGGTGAGCAGGATCAGGTGACACCATCTTTTTGTTCCAGTTGATGACCCTGATACATTTTCCCATGACATTTCACAATTTTCTCACAAATACTTAGTCATCTCCCCCTCCCCCAAAAGTGTTGAGGACAGAAAAGTGGCCACACAAGGGGAAAGCTGTTTCAGAAATTGTATTTGTGACTTATTGCCCCAATTCCATCATCTACCACTATGAGGTTGGGAATTTCTGGTTTGATGTTGGTTTTCTCCTTGGGTTTATATACCTTTACCTTTCTTTAAGTTGCATCTACTGAAGTATATATTGTTAGCACTGTTCATTGTGTTAAAACTAAGAGAAAAGCACTTTAGTGTCCTTAATATCATTATTTTAAATAGACCTTTTAATTTGTTTCTCTGTTCACCCCATCTGCTGCCCAGGAGCTTCAGGTAAGAGGATGCTCTTTTTTCAGGTATGCAAGCCAATGTTTTGCATTAATGCAGATTGGTAACAACAGAGTTGCTTCTTCCTCCCTTCCAGCATATGTATGCCTGTTTGTATGCATATTCACATTGATGGGTGTGTGATATAAGACGTCTTTTTTTTCTCAATTGCGCTAATCTATATATATAAAAGCCTAAGTGACCGTTACGGTGGAATGATTGGAATGACCGGAATGACCGGTCACTATGACACACATTGAGCAGGCAGGCAGGCGAGTGGTTAGGAGTGAGCAGGCAGGCAGGCAGGTGAGTTGGTTAGGGGTGAGCAGGCAGGCAGGCAGGTGAGTGGTTAGGGGCGAGCAGGCAGGCAGGAGAGTGGTTAGGGGTGAGCGGTTCCGGATTGTGAGAGGGATGTCTGACTGCTGGATGTCCGACTGCAGGGATCGGGCTTAAACCGGCAGTTGGACATCCCCCAAGGGGTCCCAGATTGCGAGAGGGCACAGACCAGGCTGAGGGACAGCCCCCCTCCCCATGCACGAATTTCATGCACTGGGCCTCTAGTACAGGTATAATTCTCAATTCTCATGCCTCATTAATCCACATTTTAACCAAATCAACAGTAACAGCAGTCTATGCCCAGTGTAGTATTCTAGGATCTAGACATTCATATTTCTGTGAAAGCTTATGGTTCTATCTCATGGTCAGTGGGTATACCTCCAGAATTGTTCCCTGAGATAGTTCATCCAACCCATCAACTGATTTGGTGCAAAAGAACCAGTTTTATGAATTTATATTTTACATTTATATTTGTATATTTCTCCTAGTCATTTTCACATTCTTCTTTTTTTTCCTCTATCTAGCATTCTCATTTTTCTTTATATATTTTTTATTTCTTCACACATTGCATTCTCTTTTTCTTTCCAGAACTCTTGCCTTTCCAAGTTTTTTTTCCCACTAAAATAGCTATTTTTAAATTTCAGCACAATAGTTAGCATATGCACCAGGAAAAAACTTTATTTGGTGGTAATTTGTCACAGCAGATATAGATAAAAGGTGCAGATATGGCTAAAAAGTACAGATATAGATAAAAGGTGCTGATGCAGATAAAACAGCAGATATAGCTACACAATATAGAAATCATATCCTGAATCTGATTTCTTTGTATAATCAAATAGTCCTAAAACAATAATAAATGGGGTTGATTAATGATAATTTGTATATTATATCCAGAATGTGTTTAGGATTCTTACCTGTTGCCTTCTACCATGAATCACCAAAACAGATTTTGGAATAGCTAAGCATCTGTTTTATGAGAGATCTGTGAAATATTCTATCAAGCTTTGTGTTATTAGGAGCCAGAAGAAATAGCCCTTAAACGAGAGGAAAATTAATCAATTTAATGCTCACTAATTTTAACAGTAATTTGCATCTCTCATATTATATTATCTTATTAACTGAATTCTCACCCTAAAAAGTTAATAGTGAGCCATCATACAGTGCTTCAAATGACTCATAAATGGAAGGATTCTATACTAGATGTTATTCAGATTACCTATCCATTTCAGTTAAAACTTGCTTACCAATGAGATGTAATATTTCCCTTCTTTTATTCCTGTCTTAAGAGAGAGAAAAATATTGTGAACACACAATACAATATATAGATGATTTATTATAGAATTGTATACCTGAAACCTATATAATTTTATTAATCAGTGTGTCACCCCCAATAAATCAATAAAAAGTAAAAGAGAGAGAGAGAGGAAGAGAGAGAGAGAGAGAGAAAATAAAACCAAAATTAATTTCTACAAAAACATTTTATGTTGGTCAAATAAACATACTTAACATCATATGGTTTGTAAACAAAGTCTGAGATATAACTCATAGCTTTCTTTAAAACTTGCTTTGCCCTTAACCCAGGTGGTGCCTCACCCAACTCGCATGCCACCCAGGGCTCTTTCAGTGGCTGAGCATTACAGGTAGCTGACAAGTGACAGCAGGTCTTGGTGTGCCATAGGTCTTTTGCTGGTGGCAGCAGGTCTTGGTGTGCTTGAGGTCTTTTGTAGCAACAGGCCTTGGTTTGCAATGTAGCCCCTCCCATGCAAAGCCAAGCCAAGAATAGGCAGCTATCAACTGAGGATTGCTAGGTAGTACCTAACAGGTAACCCAGTCCCGTAACAGGCAGCATCTGACATGGCCCTGCACTGGAGTCCTTTCCAAGGGGCCCCCAAACCAACACATCCAATGACCAGCCTCAGGCCACTACAAAGAACCACCAGATTAGCGTCCCAAGTGACACACCTAGAGGGAGGTCTCAGCAGGCACAGACCTTGTTAGGGCAACTCCTTCTCTGTGGGGACAGCCACAGCACAATAGCTTTTATGCTGTGGTCATTGATAATCCTCAAGCCAGCCAGGCCAAGGGTCAAACCTACCCACTGATGTGCCAACAGCAATCAAGACTCAACTGCAACAGCAGGGCACACACAACCCATACAAGGCACACTCCTGGAAAACGCAGTTCTGGTGATCAGATAGAGTGCCCCACTGGGCCCCACAGGACACCTACTATGTAAGGCCACCTCCCATGACTGGGAGACATAGAAGATCTACCTAGTACAAAGAAATAAACACTTAGGGTAGACAAATGGAAAGACAAAGAAACATATCCCAAATGAAAAAAGTGGAATGGAATAGAAATCTCTAGAAAAAAAAATAAAATGGAGAAAAGCAATCTACCAGATACAAAGTTCAAAACATTGGTAGCTAGGATGCTCAAGGAACATATGGAAAAATGAACTCAGTGTGAATTTCAACAAAGAGATAGTAAGCATAAAAAGAGACATTAAAACCTTATAAAAATACTTAGAAATAAAGAATACAGTAAGTAAAATGAAGAATACACTAGAAGAAATCAACAACAGATTAGAGAATTGAGTCAGTGATTTGGAAGACAAGGTAGCAGAAAACACCAAGTCAGAACAGAAAAAAAAAAATTTAAAAATGAGGATAGCTAAAGGGACCTCTGAGACAACATCAAGCATAACAATATTCTTATCATAGGGGTGTCAGAAGGAGAAGAGAGATAACAACAGATTCAGAACCTATTTGAAGAAATAATAACTGAAAACTTCTCTAACCTGGCAAAGAAAAAACTTTATTTCACTTCCATACATGTCCAGGAAATGAAGAGTCCCAAACAAGACAAACTCAGAGTTCCACACCAAGACACATCATAATTAAAATGGCAAAGGTTAAAGACAAAGAGAGAATTTTCAAAGCAGCAAGAGAAAGACAGTTACCTACAAGGAAACTCCACAAAGATTGTCAGCTGATTTCTCAACAGAAAGTTCCCTTTTCAGGCCAGAAGGGGCTGGCACAAAATATTAAAAGTGATGAAAAGCAAAGACCTACAACCAAGATTACTTTACCCAGCAATTCCATGATTTAAAATTGAAGGAGAGATAAAGAGCTTCCAAGGCAAGAAAAGGCTAAAGGAGGTCATCACCATCAAATCAATATAATAAGAAATGTTAAAAGGACTTCTTTAAGAAGACAAAAAAAGAGGAACATAAATATAAAAAATGAAATGGCAATCACTATGTACCTACTAATAATTACTTTAAATGTAAATAGTTTAAATGCAGCAATTGAAAGACATAGGGGGCTAAATGAAGGTAGGCAAAGGGGGTATGGGGAATGTGGACAGAAATAGACTTTGCTTGAGGTGATGGGCACATTATTCAGTGTGCAGATGATGTTTATTGAGTTGTACACTTGAAACCTGTATGGCATTGCAAACCAATGTCACCCCAATAAATTCAATTTAAAAATATTTAGGGTAGCTGTATGGATTAAAAAAAAAAAAGCAAGACCAATAAATAAGCTGTCTACAAAAGGCCAACTTCAGATCAAAAGACACACATAGACCAAAAGTTAAGGGATGGAAAAAATATTTCATGCAAATGGAAACAAAAAGTAGCTGGGGTATCAATACTTATAGCAGACAAAATAGACTTTAAAACAAAGGATATAAGAAACAAAGAAAGACATTACATAATGATAAAGGGACCAACCCAGCAAGGCAATATAACCCTTGTAAACATTTATGCACCCAACATAGGAGCACCTAAATAAACAAAGTAAATATTGGTGGACATAAAGGGAGAGATCAACAGTAATCTATATATATAAAAGCCTAAGCAACCTGTCAACCAGTCGCTATGACACGCACTGACCACCAGGGGGCATTCAACTTGGACAGACAAAAAGAGAAACAGTGATTGAGTCTATGGAAGATCACAAGCAGGTGGGGCTGAGCTGCAGTTCGCATTGGGAGGCTGGGCCATCAGCCCAAATTCTGCCACTCTCCTGGCACTGCTCCGGAGGCATGGCTCCCCCAACCCACCTCTCTGATCATGTCCTCCCTGAGCAGCCGGAACCAAAGGACAGAGGGAGGGAAAAAAGAGACCAGGAACTCAGTCCCCAGCACCTGCCTCCTCCTATCAGACTGGAGCCACCCCAGGACTTATAGGATGGCATGCAAAGTGGGCCTCGCAGCACAGCTACTGCAACTCCCCAGTCTGCCCTGGGTGCCCCTCGGGCACTCACCCCACTTCTCTGAGCCTCAGTCTACACCCCTACCGAGGCCGTGGGAGCTCCACCCTAGGGATCCATTTCTTCATAGCTGGGTGCAGCAGACTAAGAGATGCAAGGCACGGCAGTGGAAGATGGGGGCAGACACTCAGCTGACCAGGATGAGTGGGGCCAGGATGAACGGGAGTGGCTCCTCCCTGGCCGCCTGCTGCTTCGAGCACTACTACATCCCTCAGGGGATGTTAGATGCTGGTTTCAGTCCAATCCCTGTAGGCCACACTGAGGGACCCCACCAGTGCACGAATCCATGCACCTGGCCTCTAGTACAGTCATAATAAGGGACTTTAAATCCCATTGACATCAATGGATATACCTTCTACACAGAAAACCAACTAGAAAACAGTGACCTTAAAT